GGAGCACTCAATAGGGAGCCCAGCTGAACTCTGGGAGGGGCCTGGTATGGGAAGCAGAGAAGCCTGTTTCAAACAGCACTAGCTCCAAAGGCCCCACACACCCATGAGTCTGTCCTCAGAGGTCCTGGGGAACCTGCTAGCTGAATTATCAAAAGCCTCCTCTTGCTCCCCTCCTTACTTAGTAAATTATACTATTCTCTCTGCAGCCCTTCCACCCACACTGAACAGTGGTCCAAACATGCTCTACTGCCTCTTCTGTGCCTCTACACACACATGCTTTTCTCCTACTTATAACACCCTCCCACCTGTTTTTTTCTCCTTCATCTAGCTAATTTCTACTAGTAACTCAGGCTCAGCTCACATATCACCTCCTTTAGGGTGTCTTCCCAGACCAAGGATGGAACAGGTGCTCCTCTATGCTCCCCCAGTGCTCAGAGTTACCGCGATCATATCCTCAATCTTATTTAGGTAACAGTCTATTTATAGCTGAACTCTCCCAAGAGATGAGGAGCAACTCCAAAGCAATGACTCTTTTTTTTTTTAAATTATGTGACAGTCCTGGACAGAATTAGGGACTCATCCTGGGGAGGAGGTGGCTTATTTACTAGGCCCCTGCATGCCACCAACTCATAAACCACCTACTTGAGACATGCCTCTTATAAAAGTCCAAGCTGAAATGAACTGCTCCAACCCGTCCCCTTAGCACTGTGCCTGAGCTGCCATTCTGGCATTTCTCACAGTGCTTGCAACGGTGTTCTTATGAGTAGGGAATGAGTCCGAATTATCCATGTGTTCCACATGGCATATCACCTGGCACAGAGTTAGGGCCCATAGGATATTCACTGAAAGATTAATGAGATGTAAGGACTGCCCTGCATTTGGCAATGGCCAGCAGTGAGAGGTTGGAACAGGCTGGGCCCATACTCATCACTCATCCTTCCCACCCATCTCTCCAACACTGCCTGGTAGTAAAATCAACCAGAAGCAGGTAAATAGAAGCCTTCAGTCTGAAAAATAAGGCTTCTAATTTGAAAAGTGTTTTGAACTTTTTAAAGAACTTGTCAATCTAATCTTTACTACAAACCTGGGAGGTAGAAGGACAGGAAATGACTATTCCCATTATACAGATGAGAACAGTGATAAATGCTGAGCAAGTAAGTGATAAATATTGAGCAAGATCCAGTCCAAGGAAAGAAATCTCAATCCTTTTTCCCTACCAAGACCTGCTTTTTGTGTTGACGCAGACTTGATATATCCATTGCCCTGGGGAGCCCAGGGGCTTGGCGGCCAGGTGCTTCTGGAACTGTCCCCTCTGCGGGCCTCCAGGATCCAGGGCACAGGCCTGGTTGACTTTTTAAAAAAATTGACTTTAAAAAAAAACAGCATTATTGCGACATAATTTACATACAATTAAATTCACCCATTTTTTTTAAACATATTTTATTGATATTTTACAGAGAGGAAGGGAGAGGGATAGAGAGTTAGAAGCATTGATGAGAGAGAAACATCGATCAGCTGCCTCCTGCACACTGGGGAAGTGCCTGCAACCAAGGTACATGCCCTTGGCCAGAATCGAACCTGGGACCTTTTAGTCTGCAGGCCGATGCTCAATCCACTGAGCCAAACCGGTTAGGGCTAAATTCACCCATTTTAAGTGTTTGATTTGTTCTGACAAATGCATACACCCATGCAGCCACTATTTGATATAATCAAGATTGATATATACTTAGTTTTTCTTTTTCCAGTTCTATGAGTTTGAAGAACCATATATCATCACCATTAGTACACTGAATAGTTCCACTCTAACAAACACCCTTGTGCTGACCTTGGTGATCAAACCCTCCCTTACCCCTCGCCTCTGACATTCACTGACCTATTTTTATTTTTATCCCTATAGTTTAAAAACTTGCTATTTTAAAAACTCACAATTCAGAAAAAGAGATGTTTAGACAATATCTAGTTTTCAAGCAATAATTTACTTTGATTCTCTTATTTTTAGATTAATTTGTAATGATCTGGTTATTTTATCAAAGTGAAATCAAGTAAACATTTTTAGCATCACTGAGAAATGAATCCTCTTAATATAGGAAGATTAATACTGGATATTTAAAAAATATTTTGAGATAGGATAACAACATTACACAAACAACTGCATTTATTAGTACATCCACTGGGTATTTTTTCTAAATATAAAAAAGGTATTACTACTTTTATCACTAAGTCTGTATATTATAAAATCATAAATTACTTCAGTTAGAAATTTAAAAGCCTTCTTTTAGGCCCAAGTTAAATAGAGTTCATTCAGGTCACCTGAGAAATTTAAAATACCAAGGTAGGTAGCTGAGTCACTATCTTATCCTACTTTTTTGGCTAGACAAAAAGGATGAAATTTCCAATTTTTTCAATTCCCAAATGGTTTTTCAACTTAGATTAAAACAAGCCAGAGGTAGGACATTTTATTTCTACTTGCAGAAGAAGAAAGTGGTGTTAAAAGCAAGACTATCACTTCACAATGATTGCCAGGAAAGTGAAAAGCAGTGGGAATAATTCTGAGATCAGTTTAAAGAATTTGGGATGTTTTGTCTGGGGCTCTAATGAGAGCTCACCACAGGCATTAGAATCAAAGCTCAGCCCTGCCACCTATTAGCTCTGGTCGTCTTGGGAAAAATTATGTGACCTTTGTGATCTTACTTCCTCATGTATAAAATGGAAGTATAGCCTTAATTTTGAGCATTGCTTTGAGGGCTAAATGAGATAATGCACAGTAAGTGTAAAAAAGTAATAGACAGCTGATGGCAGGAGGTTTGGGAGTAGGTAGGTGAAATTTATCATAGATGGTATGATGATAAAAATACTATAGACATCATTGTCAGAGCCAACATTTTTTCTCAAGAGTTAAAGACGGACACTGGCATTTAGAATACTCACCAGAAATAAAGCTAGAAAGCATATATGGCCCACTGTGACTAAAAGTATTTTTAAAAAACAGGTTATGTGACTATATGCCTAAATGCTATGCAATCAGCAATAAGAATTCTTATTTTGCACATAACTCATTTTCTAATATACTATTAAATTCAGATTATCTTTTCATTGGTTTTCAACAAATTGTGGTGACTCAAGTAGCTTTAAATAAAAGAAAAAACTGTATCTATTTTTGTAAAACAAATAATTTTTATTCAAGCTAAATCCATGGGATTTGTAAAAACCAGTGACATTTATTCAAAAGGGCCTCTAATGGCAGAGGCCATTACATGGTTGCCTTTAAGTGCTCACACACACACAAACACCAGCCCCTCTCCATGGGTAGTAGCCATTTAAGCTCCTAAGTAAGAAAGCCAGTTCCACTTACTTGACTACCTGGGGGGAGAGCAGGCGGCTGGCTAAAGAAGGCTTTTATGGGCTGATTCATTCAGTCAAACACCCCGAGTGAGTGAGTGAGTGAGTGAGTGCCTCTGTGTGGGGGGACTGAATTCTCACTGCCAAGATGGCATCAACTTAACTTTCCATTAAAAAAAGAAGTTTTATAATATCCTTCTCTACATTGTGCCTGTTGAAATCTCAGTCATCCTTCAAGCTCATAGTCAAATGCCATCACCCCCCCACAAACACACATACACACCTTTTGCAAAAGCCATTTCTGATCCTCTGTCCCCTCAAATCTCAACCGCAGTCTGAATTAATCAATTTCTCCTAATGCCCTTTGATTAGAATTCACTCTTTACATCTATCACATTAGGGCCATCTACATTGCCATAGGAATTATACTCTATTTATCTAAAAACAACAAATAACACAAAGATGTAAGTGCTAGGCCTTAACCAGGTGTTTAAAATAACCAGATGAACAAAACAGGCTTTGGGTGAAAGTTCAAGGCTCAGTGGGGAAGTCAGGCCGACAATATGTAAATTTCAGCAAGTACAGCTTGTGCAATATAATATTGACAAGTACAAAGCAGGCTAACAGTATGGAAAGGAGAGAGATCAGGTGTGGCTTCATAGAGTGGGATGTTTTGAGGGCATCTCATAGGATAAACAAGTATACACCAGGCAGAGGGAAAGTCAGGTTCAGTTAAGAAGGCATGACACTTTATACCCATGTCTTTATCAGTCATGCCAGAAGGAAAGTTCTAGAGATCTGCTGTGCTTATAATTAACAATCTGTTCTATACACTTAAAAATCTGTTAAGAGGGTAGACCTCTTGTTATGTGTTAGTTTTTTACAGCAAATTTTTTTTAAAAGAAGGCATGAAACAGGACAGCATGTCTGGGAATTTGCAAGGAGACCAGGTCACTGGAATTGATTGAGGAGAACAGGGAGACGAAGGAGAAGCTAGAGAACAGGTTAGGAGTCAGAACAGATCGGGCCTTGTGACCCATATTTGGGCTTTTAACTTTCTAGACAATGAGGAGTTGCAGAGAAATAGGATCAGATGTGCATTTTAGAGCAGCAACTCAGGTGGCAAAGTGGGAGACAGGGTAGGCATGGAAGTTGACAGACTCTGATGCAGCCTAGATGAGACCAAAAGGTGTGGGTTAGGGAAATGCTACCAGGCAGGGCTGCCTTCTAAAACACATTGCTTTCTGGAGTTATTTGGTTAATTCATTTATTTACTTTCCACCAAAATATAAGTGGAAAGTCAGGGACTCTGTCTGTCTTGCTCACAGCTGTATTTCTAGTCTTGTCAGGTGCTCAGGAAATACCTGCTAAATCAATGAACAAATCTCCTGAGGGCAGGAACCATGGCTACTCCGCAACACTTTCAGGAGAATGTTGTATTTAAAGAAGGATGCTCACAAACATGCGTTGATTTATTTTTTTAAAGGCACGTGTTTTGGATTTTTCCAAATAACGACATCAAATTTTCTTGGTGAAAAGTCCAAAGGCAGAATTCTTCCACCCATCAGCTTTGCATACCCCACCGAGGCATCTAGCAATCCAGCTGGGCCCTTTCTGCTTCGTAAATCATTGCTAGCAACAAAGCCTCAGCAATTAGAGCTCAGCTGTTGGCTGTGCTGACAATGGTTAGAACAGCCAGCAACAGTGTGGCCCTCCTATGTTTGTGCGACAGCATTAACGCACATCATGAGGGCTGCACATATTCCTGTGGACCACAACCACTGCCAGAAGCAAGTTAGCAGGCTGATGCCTCCTACTCTTCCATAACCCACAACCCAGTAACTTTGGTGGGGATTTTCCCCCCAGAGGAAGGATAAAAGGATTTAATTTCTCTTTTATATTAAGAACCAATAAAAGGGCAGTTTTATAATTCATCTGAAGTGGAATACACCAGGTTCAAGCCATCAGCTTGACTGACTCATCCCCATGGTCTGCACAAGTCCTCCAGCTGCCAGAGTTTCAAGTCAGCTGCCTGCTCGCAGGGACTCTCCCAACAGTACGTTGGTTTTAGAAAAGTGTTCTGTGTCTCTAAGAAACAGGCATGACGGTGTCTCCACTACTATCCATCAAGAATCCTTTGGGGGTGGGGGGCTACATTGTATTCAATATGCAGGCCTGAGTATAAATGTACAAATCCTGACTCTGCCACTTACCAGCTGTGTGAACTTACCTAAATTACTTAACCTTTCTGAGTCTGGGTTCTCATTTGTGAAATGGAATAATCATATCTGCCTTACAGCACTCCAGAGAAATCAAATGAGGAAACCCATCTAGTATGATAAACATGGTGCCTGATACCCAACAGGCACTTAATGAATGTTCAGTCCCTTATCCTGTGTGGGAGTGAGAGGGAGGTCAGTGAATAGCCACCTTGTAAGGAGCAGGTCTTGTGGGGGTCTCACATACAAGGAGGAAAAAGCAGTTCATGGACCAGAAAATATGGAAACTGACAGTTTGCAGCTCTGCCTCTTCTATACTTGAGAAAGTTAGGAAATGTGAGTGACAGAGGCTGTCCCAAGAACATAAAGGAAGCTAATCTGTTTGCAAAGGGAGGAAATAACACAGGATGAAGATTGTGAGTTTTTTGAAGCTTCTTCCCTAATTACCACTCATAATGAAAATTTAATTGCCAACTTAAAAGCAAATTTCACTTTTTCCCTCAGAAAATCTCTGCAGAAACTGGCACATTTGGTTTGACACAGGAAATCGAAGTTACTTTAATGCTGAAATGAGATCTAAAGAGCTGCAGATGTTTCCCTGGGAGTAACAAGCTTCCAAACTCTGTCCTACTGGGTTGCAGCTATGGCTACAGAGAAAAGGAAAAACTGTTTTGAGCTGAGTAACTCAAAGGGGTGGAGGTGATTCAAATTCCAAGTACTCCAGTGCTAGGCACTCTGGGGGCAAGTGGGGAGAGGGTGGTACAGAGAAAGGGTATCTGGCATCAAGGAGCTTCAATCGAGTAGGAGAGAGAACCAGGAAACAGCCTAAGATTAGGAAACCAAAATTAAGAAACTTTGGGTCACGAAAGAACAGCAAGAAACAAAAAGGTAACCCTTCTCAGGATGCAAAAGACTGCTCACCTGTAACGTGCTGGTGAGGAAGTTGTTCTGGGAGACAATGTCCACAAAGAAGTCGGGGGGGATCTCGCCGAGCTGGTGGTACAGGATGGAGATGAGGTTGACGTAGAGAGTGTGGTGCTTCACCATGGCTTCCTCAGAGCGGCACAGGAGGTTCAGGAGCTGCTTCCAGTGCTCGAAAGCCTCATACACGTTCCCCAGCAGGAAGCACACAAAGGCAAACTGAAGTTCACCTGAAAGGCACAGAGGAGAAAGGATCCTCAGGGAGAAGATACCTGCTGACTCTACAAGCCTGACAGTTCCACTGGACCTCAGCAAGGGGGGGCCAGGGGGGTCTTTTCTCCTTGTCACTCCTGCGGAGACCAGCATGGGGTCTTGCAACAAGCCGGTCCTTAATAAAAGTTTGCTGAACTGCTATCAATTTGGATTTCTGTAAAATCAGACTGCAAGAGAAGAGGTACACCTAGTATTTGCCTGGCATTTAAAGATTTTGCAAAATGTGCTCAGGGATATCATGCCAAGTGGATCCCAAACCTGGCTGCCTATCAGAATTACTAGAGGAGCTTGCTAAAAATAAAGCAGCCCAAGCCTCACCCGCAGAGATCCTGGCTGAGGATAGATGATCTGTAGCTCTAATTCTGATGCAGATAATCTGCTACAGGTTCAGGGAAATGCTGTATTACACCATGTAATCCTCAGCCAACTCCTCAAGGTGGTCAAGGAAAGGTGGTATTTGCCTTATTTTATACATGAGGTCAAGGGACTTGCACAAGGTCACACATCTAACCCTTAGGAATGTGAACAATGAAAAGATAAAATAGATTTTCTATTGGCTGGAAACTGTTCTAGAGCCTCCCAGAGGAGGAAAATTTGGGAGGACTTGTTCCAGGGTTGATTGTTTAATCAGTGCTCTGTGGTTTAATCTCTATGAGCAGCTTGGTGGGAAAGAACATGGGCTCTGGAGCCAAACTGCCTGTGTTCAAATCTCAGCTCAACCACTTAGCAGCTGGGCAAGTTACAGTACTTAATCTGTTTATGCTTCAATTTCCTTATTTAAAGGTGAGGATTAAATAAATCAATATATGTAAAGCATTTAAAATAATGTATGGCTCAAAGCAGCACTCAATAAATATTAGTTATTATTCCAACATTTCCATCGGATGCCTGTCTCAAACAAAGAGACCTGATGATCTAGATCAGCAGTTGCCAACCTTTCCGACCTCACAGACCACCAGTGGTCCACAAACCACCGGTTAGTAATCACTGATCTAGATACCATTATACTTGGCCAAGCAACTGGGTCTCTGGTTACCAAAATATACTGTTACCGATCAGAGATGTTCTGTCTGTCTTCACATTTAATGAGGGCTTCTGTGGACCTACATACGGGTCATCAAAACAACAGATGCACTCAACACCTGTGACTAGCTAGCTACCTGCTAGGACATTTGACTGATATGTAGTCAAAATTTCTTTGTGTGATAGAGGTTAATGATATCCTTCTTCAGTTGGCTTTTCCTGGTTGGCTTGTGAAATTAACATGAGCTTATTCTCTGAATTTAGGGCATTTATTTAAATTCGTGCATTTCTGGCCTAGTCTAAAATTATGAGATCAGAAATAATTTCAAAGAGCTGTCATGCAGATACAAAGTTATCCCTGCAACAGACCTTTTCACAAGATTACTTTAAAGAACTGAAATGTGTTAGAAGTAGAAAACAGGATTTCTGTTCATTTTTAAGCCAGAATTTCAAGTGTTACTTATTAAATGAAAATACTATGTAGTGCATTAAAACACATTCATTAAAATGTCCCTTATCAGCTGAGCCAATGATTTAAAAGGCCCTATATTCAAAATTTTCACTGATGTTCCAATAAAAAAATATGCAAGTACCTAGGCAACTTGTAAAATATCTATATTTATAATAGGGTAATATGCAAATTGGTGTGGGACACCATCACGTAACAACTGAACAGCAGGAGGGCGGGGCAGCGAGCTACAAGCAGTGGAGAGCTACAGGAGGGCAGGGCAGTGAGCTACGTGTGGTGGAGAGCTACCAGTGGCAGTGGGTGGGGTGGCCAGCTGAGGCAAGTGGCAGCAAGCTACTGGCGCACGGATTCATGCGCAGGGCAATCCGTGTGCAGGGCCACTAGTATATATATATAAATAGCTGTTAAAGATGTGATGAATGTTTGCTGTCACTATAACTGAAGAAAAATACAGTTGATCAGAAACCAAGATGGCGGCATAGGTAAACACCTGAAATTGCTGCCTTGCACAACCACTTAAAAAATACAACTAAAAGACGGAACGGACATCATCCAGAACCACAGGAAGGCTGGCTGAGTGGAAATTCTACAACTAGAAGGAAAGAGGAAAGCATACCGAGACTCAGAGGAGGTGCGGTGCGGAAGTAAAATACAGAGGTACGGAGGCGCATGCAGAAGAGGGCTGGTGGCTGAGGACACCGTTGTCTTTTTCAATCGGGAGGGAGTCTCAAGCTCTGAGCTCCAGTTCCGGGCGAGTCTCTGGGGACCCAGACTCATACGGGAGAAACTGGACTGAATGGCATCAGTCAGAACTCGAGGGCAGCTTTCTCTCGGAGGTGCTTGCAGTGATTGCCGAGACACTGAGAAGCAGGGCCTCTGAAGGCAGGACTGAGAGCAGCCATAACTGCTCGCTCCACCCTGTTGATCCCCTGGGACCCCGCCCCGCCCATGCCGAGAACAGAGGCTTTTGCATATGAAAGGCCTGGCTCTTTGCAATCTGATAATTACCTAAGAACTGCAGCTGGCCCAAGGCCCCACAGGAACTTGCATTGCTTCACAGCTGGTTCCTGCTGGGTAGCCTCAGGCAGAGGCTAGATTAGCACCTCCTTAGAGATCCAGGAGCCAGTGTGCCCAGTGGTCAGAGTGGGACCATCCAGATTGCAGCTCCTCGGATCCATAAAGGACACACTCAGAGGGCAGACTCAGTGAGCACCAAAGCCCCACTGAAGCAAGTCTTGCCCCGGAGGGGTGTCTCCAGCACAGAAGTTCTCCCACTGCAGACACAGCTGATTCTCATAGCCAACTGGCCTGGAGGTCAATTCCTCCCAGTGATACCTACAACAATCAAGGCTTAACTACAACAAGACTGTGCACAAAGCCCACAAGGGGATGCACCAAGAGTGTCTACCTCAGGTAATTTGGGAGGCTGAGCCACTGGGCCCTATAGGACACCTAGCACAGAAAGCCACTCTAACGACACAGCGAAGCATAAAAAAATGCGGAGACAAAGAAACAGGACACAAATGACAGAAATGGAGGAAAGCAAACTACTGGATATAGAGTTCAAAACCACACTTATAAGGTTTTTCAAGAATTTTCTAGAAACCACCAATAAACTTAATGAGACCCTCAAGAAATCTAGTGAGACCCTCGAGGTTGTGATAAAGGACCAACTAGAAATTAAGCATACACTGACTGAAATAAAGAATATTATACAGACTCCCAACAGCAGACTAGAGGATCGCAAGAATCAAGTCAAAGACTTGAAATACAAAGAAGCAAAAAACACCTAACCGGAAAAGCAAAATGAAAAAAGAATCCAAAAATACGAAGACAGTGTAAGGAGCCTCTGGGACAGCTTCAAGTGTACCAACATCCGAATTATAGGGGTGCCAGAAGAAGAGAGAGAGCAAGACATTGAAAACCTATTTGAAGAAATAATGACAGAAAACTTCCCCTACCTGGTGAAAGAAATAGACTTACAAGTCCAGGAAGCACAGAGAACCCCAAACAAAAGGAATCCAAAGAGGACCACACCAAGACACATCATAATTAAAATGCCAAGAGCAAAAGACAAAGAGAGAATCTTAAAAGCAGCAAGAGAAAGACAGTCAGTTACCTACAAGGGAGTACCCATACAACTGTCAGCTGATTTCTCAACAGAAACTTTGCAGGCCAGAAGGGAGTGGCAAGAAATATTCAAAGTGATGAATACCAAGAACCTACAACCAAGATTACTTTATCCAGCAAAGCTATCATTCAGAATTGAAGGTCAGATAAAGAGCTTCACAGATAAGAAAAAGCTAAAGGAGTTCATCACCACTAAACCAGTATTATATGAAATGCTGAAAGGTATCCTTTAAGAAGAGGAAGAAGAAGAAAAAGGTAAAGATACAAATTATGAACAACAAATACACATCTATCAACAAGTGAATCTAAAAATCAAGTGAATAAATAATCTGATGAACAGAATAAACTGGTGATTATAATAGAATCAGGGGCATAGAAAGGGAGTGGACTGACTATTCTTGCGGGGGAAAGGGGTGTGGGGGATGCGGGAAGAGACTGAACAAAAATCGTGCACCTATGGATGAGGACAGTGGGGGGGGAGGGGTTTAGAACCGGGTGGAGGGGAGCTATGGGGGGAAAAAGAGGAACAACTGTAATAATCTGAACAATAAAGGTTTAATTAAAAAAAAAAAGAGTATCACAATAAAAAAAAATACAGTTGACAACATGGGGGCTGAGGAGCAGACATTCTGTGCAGTCAAAAATCTGCTTATAACTTTTGACTTCACAAAAACTTAGTTGTCCCTCAGTATCCACAGAAAATTGATGTTAGGACACCCACCCCCATACCAAAATCCGTGAATGCTCAAGTCCCCCATATAAAATGCATAGATCAACACACATAGTAGGCCCTCTGCATCTGGGGACTTCCAATTTGGGATCAAAAACAGTACAGGTATTTATTGAAGAAAAAAATCTGCAAATAAATGGATCCATGCAGTTCAAACTTGTGTTGTTCAGGGTCAACTATAAATGGAAATAAGATGTAATTCTCCAACTACCCAGATGGAAGAAGCCTTTGCTGAATTGCCATGTCAAAGGTAATAGGCAACAGCCTCCCAATAGGTGGTGAAGCCACACAACCTTCTTATGGCAACATACATGCTCTGACCCAACAATTTCAACCCTAAACACATGCAGAAACACACACAAGGATGTTCACTAGGCAACACTTATAATAGGGAAAATATGAACATCTTAAAGGTCCATCTGCATTGGGCTGGTTCAATAACTATGGAACTTAAGCAGCCAGTGAAAAGGAGTGACTATTTCAGTGACATAGAAAAATGTTTATATTAAAGTAAATAACAAAATGATATACCATAATTCTGTTTTTTGTAAAAAAAAAAAAATCACATATACATACAAACATAATTGAACTTAAAAAGTCTAAAAACACATAGAAATTAACAGAGAGAAAAGACTGAAATAAAGTATCTATAGCCATATCTACAGGTATACATATACATTTATATGTAAAAGACGGGAAGTAAATACACCAAAATGTAAAAAATGGTTATTTCTAGGCTGTGAAAACTAGAATGAATTTTATTGTGTGGGTTATTTTTTCTATGATGAATATATTTTTGTAATAAGGGGGAAATAAAAACTATAATGTTTTTAAAAAGTCACTGTCCTGATCTAAGCAGTCGAGAGACCAACACCTTGAGAGAGTCAGGAGCAAGTTAAGGAGGGAAGAGGGAGGCCTGGGAACCAGGAGCCCTTGGCTCTGGTCTCATTCTGACCACTTAGCAATCCTTTGCTTCTATAGACCTCAATCTGTAAAATGAGGGGCTGGGCCATGTCAGTGGTTCCTAAACACAGGACTGTCTGCATCAGGTTCACCTAGGGTTCGTGTTTATTACACAGACAGACAGACAAATCGCTGGGGCCCGAGTCAATCTCCAGGGTTAAGGCCTGGACATCCGAATCTTTACTGAGTGTACTGGGCATGACTGCTTCCTAGCCAGCTTTAGGAACCCCTAGACTAGATAACCCAGGGTATACTCCCTAATCCAATACCCCTCCTTGGCCCACTCCCAAAGAGCCTTGTTCCTCCTCACCGAGTACATCCTGGGGGCTGCTGGGGAACTGCTTGCTGAGCACAGTCTCCAGGGCATAGCTCAGGTCCATGCTGTGCCTGGTTATCTCTGCTGGTGTGGCACCTGCTGGGAACATCTGTGTGGGCAGCTCGGAGAAGCGGATCTCTGTCCCGGCTTTGGGCTTCATCTCAGGCAGCCGGGCCAGGCCTTCCTGGTAGCTTTTGCACTCGGTGCCACAGCGGGGTAGATTCTGCCCCACCCGGTCCTTGGTGTGCTTCAGGGAGAGCACAGGCAACACCTCTGAGAAGGCACAGATCTGCCGGCTCTCAGGCTGCAGCCTCTCCATTGTGGCCTCGCTGATGAAGTTGGTGAGTGAGATCCACTTCTTGAGCGTGGCATATGGGTAAGGTCCCAGAAACTGGTCTAGGTCCTGGAGGTTGGCCCTAATGGCCTCCACCTCAGCCTCTGGGGCTGGGGAAAGGTCTACCTCTTCCCGGACTGAGTTCCAGCGCAGGACCGTCAGCTCCCGCTGCTGCACGCAAAGGAAGAAGCCCATTCGAGGGCCTACATCCCTGGGATTGGCCTTGTCCACAGAGCTGTAGTGGAGGAAGTGGATGCCTGGTGGAATCATCTTCACACCCCGGAACTTGGGCCCCACCTCCCAGGAGTTGTAGTCAATGCCAAACTCTGTCCCCTTGGGCATATTCAGGATGATCACAGTGGCCCCTTCAAAGAAGAGGCTCTTGGCAAGCTCAGGATCCATCTGCATGGCAGCCATGGCTGCAGTGACAGGCGACCAAAGGAGAACCCTTCTTATTTTCAGAACAGCTGAAAAGGAAAGCAACCAGAGTTTGTCAGAACTTGGGGAAGAATGCTTCATTTACTGAGCAATCTCTATGCCCCTGATAGCAATATCTCCCTTAATCCTCACCACAACCCTACATCCATTTACAGATGAAAACGTGAGATTCAGAGAGAAGAGAATACTCACTTCACAGCTGAAAAGACACCAGAGAAGTAACATGTTAAGTCACACAAGGACAAACAAAGTCACACAAATTAGAACCTGGGTACCCTGCCCTCCAGGCCAGTGTCCTTCCCACTGTCCACTCAGGATCTGCTCTCGGATCTCTCTCTCTCACCATGGAGGATGAAAGTAAAGGAAGCCTGAATGGTCCTCTCTAAACTGTAACTCTGCCTAAAACCTATTGCTAGAAAGTTCCAGAAGAATTGAGAAAGATGCTTGACTCAAGTACACACCCAGTTTCCCATAAGCCTCAGGGAAAGCCCAGAAACAGACAGAGGTGGAAAGTGGGTGCTCAGCATCTAAAATTCACAACAAATTTGGGAAATGGAGAGCTTTTCAACTCAAACATTCTCTTCTCCTTTTACACATAAAAACCAAGGAGTGAGACAACTTCCCAAAGGGCCCACAGTCAGTGGCAACGCTGGACCACTCGTCCAGAATGGACTTAGGTGGCATGGCTGGCCTAGGATCAGTATTTAGAAGAGAAAGCTCAGAGCACTTATTTTACCTACCCCGGAACCACCTATGGGGGCATACTGTAAACGTCTGTAGGCAGACACTGCCTCTGTGGTATTTGTAAGAATGGTTCCAACATGAATTCATTTAAACCAAACAATTATCTACCCTTCAAGTCCCAATACACCTACCTATTTAATTCAACAAATAACCACTGTATGCCTTCACTGTGCCAAGATCTTTACCGGGCACTAAATAAAACCTCTAGAGTAGTGGTTCTCAACCTTGGCTGCACATTAGAATCACCTGGGAATCTTTTTAAAATCCTGATTTCTGGGCCTCATCCTCCGGAAATTCTGTTTCTTTGTTACTAATGTTGTGGCCTCACCCCATAACAACGAAACAGAATTTCTGGAGGATGAGGCCCAGAAATCAGGATTTTAAAAAGATTCCCCAGGTGATTCTAATGTGCAGCCAAGGTTGAGAACCACTGCTCTAGAGTAAGACAGCCACTGCCCTCTAGGCACTTCCAATCTAGACAGACATATGAGCAAGGCGCTAAAATTTCACAAAGAGAGAATCAGTGGCCTGCTTAGTTCTTTTTACTCTATATATTTTACACAATCAAAACAAAATAAAACAGTGAGGAAAGGAAGACCAACCCTTTCCCAAAAACGTTAAGGGTATATATTACTGCCTTAACCCAAAAACACTACAAATGACCCTCACTTTAAATCAGCTTTTTTTTTTTTCAGACTTCAAGTCACAACTCGTTATGGGTTAAGAAACAGTTTAGAGTCTCAGCCAGTATTATTATTTTTTAACGAAAAGAATAGAATAAAAAAATTAGAGTGCATCAGGAGTGATGAAGATAATAACTGCTTTCTGAAGCTTTGTGTTTGTGTACATACTCTTAGTTGCAACATAAAATGTATTTGTTACCGTAGGTCACGGTCCAAAAAAGCCTGAAAGCCACGGCTCTAAATAATTTATACATTATCTTCCTATTCCCAACCCTAATTCAGAAGGTACTTTATGAATATTTGCTAAATGCACAGCTATTACATTTAGAAAATTGCTCCTCATTTAGCCACTTTCCCTTGTGGCATCTGTGTGCTCCTCCTTGATAATTCCTTTCACTCTAATTCCATCAGCCTGTAATTCTATTCATTGTATCTTCCGCAGCTGGCAGGTGGCCTGACACAGAGAAGATGCCCTGGAAATGCATCCATCCACTTCTCTTCACCACCTCCTTAACCAAACGACCATGACACTCACCCAGAGCGCCGGCCCCTCCAATCCATTCTCCATCCACAGCTGGAGTGACCTTTGCAAAATGCCGATCTAGGCATGTGGACACCCACTTTTAATACCTCCGGGTGGTTTCCCATGTGGTTCTTGGGAAACCAAAATCCATGGTCTGGGCCCCGGCAACTCCTGCAGCTTGTTTCACACCCTGCTCCCCACACAAGCTCTGCTCCAGGCACACTGCCTCTTCCCGATCCTCTGCCTATGAAGCGCTTCCCTCCTCTCTGTCACATAATTTTCCTGATTCAACCCAGTAATCTCTCCTCCGTACAGCCTCGGAGGTCGGGTCTCTTGTGCTACACGCTCATTTCACTTACCAAGTCGGCAATTTTGCCCATGTTTAATCGAGGGTTGTCACCTCCACGAGATCTGAGTCTCTTTACACCTCGAACACATTCTAGACACTTGATAAACATTCATTTAATAAAAACATGGTATCCGTTTCGCAGTTGAGAAACAAAGGCTCCTTTTGGGGAAAGACCTTACCGGGAAGTTACCGGGAGCGGGACGGAACCAGGTCGGGCGCAGCCAAGGCCTCGGGCCCCCAAGTCCTGAAGTTAGGAAAGCCCGAAGTTACCCGGTGGCCCGGGGAGTGCTGGGGAGCTCTCCCTGGTGACGGTTTCTCGGGAGAAAGGCCTTTGGAGAGACCAGGGTCCCACCACCAGCCCACAGGCCCCCGCGAGGCGCCCTAGTCCAGGGCACGCCGCGACCCCAGGCCGGGAACGGGGTGGCCCCGCTACACAAACAACGAAAGGAGCGGAATTAAAACAGACCGGGAGGCCGCACTCACCAGCTTCGGTGCCGCCCCGCTCACGCACCGCGGAAGAGCACCGGAAGTCAGCTCTGGAGCCGGACAAGAGCTACGGAAAAAAGCGCCACGGAAAAAAGCGCCACGGAAAAAAGCGCCCGGGCAGATCTCTAGGTCGCGGGACAAGCGGTCCGCGCCGGCAGGTTCCGCCCCAGAATACCTTTTGCTTTTAGTTTCTCGTTTTAGCTCCAGAACCGTGGGTAACAACTTTTGTCAAACTGTGCATTTTATATCCCGTTCCAGAAACACATCTACCAGCCAAGATCCGTTGGTCTCAATTAGTCCTGGTTACTGAAGCTGGGGCAAGGTCATGGCTGCTTAGTAGCCACTGTCAGATGCTCAGTCGTGGTCCTGGTCAGCCGACGGCTACCTGAGTGACAGTGTCACCGAGTCTTAACTTCCAACTACACTCAGGCCTAAGAGAGAGCCTCAGAAACCCAGCTCCCAGCCCAGAGAGAACTGGTCTCAGTAGCAGTAGTCACCACCTTGGTCTCTCCGGCCATAATCACCCAGTGTCCTCCCGCCAAACAGGTCTAATCTAATACCTCAGTCAGGCTGTAACCGGTCCCTGAGGGTGGGAACCTGCCTGTCTTGTTCTCGACTGTTTTCCTGGAACCTAGCACAAAGCCAGGCACAAAGGTTCAGCTACGTACATATATTATGCATTTAATTAATGACAGCAAGTTGGTATTAATAAATGGCTTCTATTTGATTTGAAAGCCTAGCACTGTGCTGGGTGGTTGTACTAGTCAAGGTCCAACCATGAAAGCAGAATTAAAAGGAGATATATATTAAGAGATTTATTGCTTGTATTAAGGAATTGGCTTATGTGATTGTGAGGGCTGGCTAGGTAAGTCCAAAATCCATAGGGTAGGCCATTTGTTTATGATTTCTAGACCTTACATCACCCTAGTAAGCAGGTATTAGCATCCCCAACTTACAGAAAAAAAAACTGAGGCTCAGAAAGGATACACAGCAAGAGAGTGGCAGAGCTAGGATTCAAACCAAGGTCTGACTGGCTGTTCTTGTCTCCATGCTGCTGCTCCTTAGCATGTCTGTCACATTTTCTCAGTGACACTGGACATGCCAATCTGTCTCAGTCAAAATTCATCTCTTAGTGGTTGCAGACTAGATCGGGCCCTGTGGTCATGGTTAATCACAGTGAGCTGCTGCAAGATTAACCAGAGATGGCCTCTATCAGTCACAGTCATGGGTATCAATTTCAGCCTGTCATGTCAGTTTCATTTCCTGCATGAAGAAGCTCAGCTCCCTCCTCAACCCTCCCTATTCCCAGTCTCAGGTGCAGAGCTCCCTGGTCTCAGAGCTTCCTGTTGCAGCTGGGCTCATCTTCTCAGAGATTGCAGGGCACTGAATTATGGGTACTGAAGCTGTCAGTGGCCCAGGAATCTGACTTTGTGGGTCACATGTCCATACAGATCAGGTTTCTCGACCTTGGTAATATTGCCAGTTGGAGCTAGATGATTCTTTGTTGCAGGGGCAGTCCTGTGCATTATAAGATGTTTAGCAGCATCTGTGGCCTCCACCCACTAGATGTCAATAGCAACTCTCAGTTATGACAACCAAAAATGTTTCCAGACATTGTTAAATATTCCCAGGGAAGGGGCGGGGGGCAAAATAACTCCACCCATGTTGAGAATCACTGATGTAGATGAAACAACCTCAAGTTATTTCCAAGTAGCACAAAGGCCGATCCTGTATTTATGGGAGAAAGAGACACAGATCTGGGGTGTGTGCAAACCAGTCCTACAGCAGAACCCCCAGAGTGACAGATAGCTAAAGGAAATCTACTGGGAAAATTCAGGAAAGGAGTCACAAAACTTCTGAAAGCAATTGCCTGGGGAGTCTGCAGAGGGTTGAAGAATTGCTTTTCACTGCATAGCATTTTGTATCATTTAATGACTTATCTTTAAAAATAGGAGAAATAATATTAGTATTTGAAATTATAGGAAAATGTTTAGCGTTTAAGTTTTTAAAAGTATTTAGAATAGTTATGTGCAAGGTAACTTCAACTCTGGAAAAATACATGTACATGGAAAATTTGTTAGAAAATGCACCAGATTATTAGCAGTGGTTCTCATTGTGAGATTTTGGCAGACTAGTGCAACCACTGTGGAAAACAGTATGGAAATTCCTCAAAAAATTAAAAATGGAACTCCCATTTGATCCAGTGATTCCACTTCTAGGAATATATCCTAAGAAACCTGAAACACCAATCAGAAAGAATATATGCACCCTAGGTTCATACAATGCAATTTACAATAGCTAAGATTTGGAAACAGGCCAAGTGCCCATCAGCAGATGAGTGGATTAAAAAACTGTGGTACATCTACACAATGGAATACTACATGGCAGTAAAAAAAGAAAGAACTCTTACAATTTGCAACAGCATGGATGGACCTGGAGAGTATTATGCTAAGTGAAATAAGCAAGTCAGAGAAAGATAAGTATCACATGATCTCACTCATATGTGGAATCTAATGGACAAAATAAACTGATGAACAAAATAGATCCACAGACATAGAACCATGAACAGACTGATAAATTTTAGAGGGAAGGTGGGGGTGGGGGTGGGGGTAGGGGAGAGAGATTAACTGGGGAATTAAATGCATATATGCATAGCCCATGGACACACACAAGAGTGTGGAAAAGGCTTGGGAGGGGAGTGTGCAGGAAAGAGGGGGTCAATGGGGGGGGGGACAAAGCGACATCTGTAATACTTTCAACGATAATTTTTTAAAAAATTAAAAAAGAAAGATGGTCTGGCACATAATGCAATATACAAATCATATATCATAGGAATGTTCACTTTGAAACCTATATGATCTTATTAACCAACTAGAGGCCTGGTGCATGAAATTCGTGCACGGGGGGGGAGGGGATGTGTGTCCCTCAGCCCAGCCTGCACCCTCTCCAATCTGGGACCCCTCGAGAGATATCCGACTGCCCATTTAGGCCCGAGTGGGATCGGTCCTAAATGGGCAGTCAGACATCCATCTCACAATCCAGGACTGCTGGCTCCCAACCACTCGCCTGCCTGCCTGCCTGATTGCCCCTAACCACTTCTGCCTGCCAGCCTGATCACCCCCTAACCACTCCCCTGCCAGCCTGATTGATGCCTAACTGCTCCCCTACTGGCCCGATTGCCCCTGACCTCCCCTGCTGGCCTGGTCACCCCTAACTGCCCTCCCTTGCCAGCCTGGTCGTCCCTAACTGCCCTCCCCTGCTGGCCTGGTTGCCCCCAACTGCCCTCCCCTGCAGACCTGGTCGCCCCTAACTGTCCTCCCCTGCAGGCCATCTTGTGTCCACATGGGGGCGGCCATCTTATGTGTTGGAGTGATGGTCAGTTTGCATATTACTGCTTTATTATATAGGATGTCATGCCAATACATTTAATTTTTTAAAAAGGAAGTGTTCTGAGGCAACTCACTTAGTAGAATACAAATGAAAGTGCTGGTACCTATGCGTCAGGTAGTCCAAGGGGTGAGTTTAACTTTGACATGGATTGTGGGTTGTTAATTTTAATATTTTTGCATTTATTTTTATGAAGACATCCTTTCCATTTGTGAAATATAGTTTCCTTTTTAAATAAACTTTTTTTTTTTACAGAGTTAATTTTGAGACAGGCATTATGTATGGGAATATGGCAACTTATGTGCAGGTGGTGGGCAGAGGCTGAGGTTGGGGGTTGCTGTCTACACTATTCACTCGGCTTCCATGGAGGGATTTGCAGGGAGACGCAGATGTAGGTGCTCTTTGTTCAGGAAGAGGAAGTGGGACCGTGCTGTCTCTCCATACACAAGCCCCGCTGTGTCCTGTGGCCCACATCCTTACTGTTCCTTCTGCCTAGAATGCTCTCACCCAAGGTCTTCACCTCACTGGATATTTCTCTTCATTCAGCTCAAAAATAACTTCCCCAGGGAGCCATGATTGACCGCCTTATTTAAGGTGGTCTCCTTTAGTGACCCACTCTGCACTTCCTTCCTGGTGCTGATCACTCAGGAACTGTCTCTGGCTGCTTGCCTATTTTTTCCACTAGCCTGTGACTTCCTGGAGGGCAGGGACTTTGCCTTATTGCAAAGCCTAATGCAAGACCTGTACCACATTCAGAGCTGCAAATATTAGTAAAATGAAAGTGTTGGGATCGCTCACCTCCAACTGTAGCCCTTCTCACAATGCCCACTTGTACTGGTAGTCAAGGGGGAGGGGAGGAGAGAAAGTGAAGAGGAGAGAGAGAGAGAGAGAGAGAGAGAGAGAGAGAGAGAGAGAATCACCAAGGCAGTTTGTGGTTGAGCATCAAACACATTTATTTCACTTTTATTGAGTATACAAGAACAGAGAGCACACGCATACAGCACGGAGCACTGAGGTGGGGGAGCGTGGGGACCAGAGAAGAGAGAAGGGTGTGAGTAAAAAGGAACAGGACAGCATTGCAATTGTTTGGGAAGGTGCTTTTGGGGGGAAAAAAAAATTAGAGTGATGTTGCTCATGCAATTTCAGGCCAGTCTTGGAATGTGCTTGCAGGATTCAAAACCCGAAACAGGTCCTGGAACTTCCTGTCCTCTCAGATGGAAAAGATCCAGAGAAAGCAAAGTAAAATGAAAGTCTGTGGTATGGCAGAGCAGAAAAAGGCCCTGGAGAGCATCTGGCTTATCCACGTCCTTTTACAAGTGCGACGGGAACTGAGGCCCCAGGAGAGCCCAGACGAGCTCGATGGCACGTGGTAAGCCAGGCACCGAGCCAGGGTGGCCACGAGCACTCCTGCCCGCCCTCTGGGACTTCTCCACTATGCTACATGGTCTCTGGGGTGGAGAGGCAGCACAGAAAGAATGAGAAATAGAAAAAAGAAAAAAGGAAAAGTAGGTTGACGACAGACAAGACAAACGTTGATGTTCTTTGTGAAGAGGAGCATGGGGAGGAAACAGTGCCCTAGATTTAGCTTGCAGCTCCCCTCCTCCCTGGGGGCACTGACTGACTCTCGTGGAAGGAAGGTCAGAGCATTGGTGGGGTAGAGGTCTCCACAAACGCCACTGGCCCGTGAGCTAAGCCTGATCACTCATCCCTGCCCTGAAGCCACACACCCAGGGTCTGTGGGCAGGTAGAGAACCCAGAAAAAAAAATAATTCTCCCTCTGAAGTGTGTTCAGGATGCCTGGTTCCGGCAAAGACGGGGTGCCTGAGTCAAATTCTGGGTGAGCCAGAGAGGGTGGGGCTACACCAGCTTTTGGCCCAGAACGAGTGGGAGCTCTCAGGTTGAAAAGGGCTTCTGTATCAGGGACGTAAAAAGAAGCTTGGTGCACGGCAAGTGTGCTGTCGCACTCAGGGGGAGCTGGAGCAGCCCCCCGGCCTGCTCTGGGGTGTGTGTGGCTGATTCTGCCATGGGATGCCCAGGCTCAGGGCTCTCTGCTCTCCCTCCATCCAATTTGTGTCCACAGAGGCACACTATTCTGGTTTCTTGTTCTGTCCCAGGTCAGCACCAAAGCAGCTAAGCGTACTTATCCTTGGGGTAATCGATAAGCCTGGGCTCTCTGGCGGGCATCCGTGGGCAACGTCCAATAATTGGAGAGAATGCAGAAGTGCTCTCAGAGAGACAGCCCTGGTTAGAAATGTAAGGCTGGCTCAGGGGGCTTCCCAGGTGCCTCCATGTGCCCCACATTCTCTCAATCCAAGAATAGTGCCTGGCACAAGCAGGTACTCAATATATATTTGTTGAGTGAGTTTATCAACTGCTTCAGAAACAGGACTGGGGAGGTGAGATGGGACTGATACATTAAAGTGCAGTGGGACACACTCCCTCAGAAGGGGACTCATTGAGCTCAGGGGGCCAGCTTGTGCCAGGAGAGCCTGGGAAAGCCCCTGCGTGTCAATGCCAGGCTTTTGGTGGGTTTTCTCCAAGGGCTTCTGTGGTCTTGAGGCAATTTCTGGGACTCTGAGGGCACAGGCTCAGAGCTCAGATGCTGACCGAAGGGGAGGTCTCCAAAGCCAGGGTCTAACACGTGGATGGAGACTGTGAGCAGCACCACCTTTCATCCTCAGCTTTGACCTAGGCCTACCCTGTGTTTGGGGTCGCTCCCATGGCTGCTTCAGCCCAGGAAGAAGAGAATGACTCAGACAGAGAACAGCAGTGGTAGAGGAAGAGACCGAGCTGGGAGTTTTCAGGCAGCCGGATAAAGCTACCATCCCCTGCAGGCCAAGGGCATCACCCCCCTTGGGATGGGGAGTTAGCTCCCAGGATTTGGTCAGGGAAAGGCAAGACATGTGGCAAAAAAAACCCAGAGGACTGAGAACAGAGACAAACCCCCTTAGGGAGGTAGGGGGACTGAACCAGGGGATCCGCAGCAAAATCCTAACTCTGGGCCCCACATCTGAGCACGGACCAGGCCCTGGTTGTTACTGCCCAGGGGAGAAGGCATCTTGGACCACAGCTGTGTTGCTTCCTTCTTGCCAAACCCCCGCTTCTCCATTCGGGGACCCCTCCCCTCCCCACCAATCAACCAATGACAAATATCACACACTGAATTACTACACTGAACCCGTCAGCTCCTACGGTGAGCAGCCCACAGCCAGAGTCCAGGCCTCCTTGGCTGGGCCGGTTCAGTGAGATCTAGGAACCTTGGGATACATCAATCACAGTCAGATAATTATAATTTTAAACTGTCAGCTTCATACTTACCAGCACTGTTTATTTTAATATTTGTTTCCCGTTATATGTAATATACATAACTTAAAAGCACATCCATACAAATCTCCTACAAGCTGCACCTTCGTCATGAGAACCATAAACATACAATGTCTACTTCCCTTCCTGCGGCATGGTTTTCCGTCCCTGCTTTCTTTTCTTTTTCTTGTTTCAAATGAGTCATCTGCAGTGGCCCTCAGCAGGACCCGGACAGAGGGCAAGGGGTGCAGGGTTGGGAGGAGGGAGTCGAGACAGAAAATGACGACAAGACTTGTGAGGGGGAGGGGAGGCGGAAGAAAGGAAGGTGGATTTTGCAGCCCAGTGTCAAGACCCATAAAATAATAATCCAGTGTTCCTCCTCCTCCTTTCCAAGTGGGAAATGTCTTTTCTTTCTCGTTGTGTGTCTTGCTGCTTCAACTTGTCTCGCTTTGCTGCAAAAGGGTTTTCCTTTGCACTTGCATGGGCAACAGACACTGGAGGACAAACGGAAGGTCCGTCCACCGGATGTGCTGCGCAGTCGGTGCTGCATCCCGGCAGTCATCCTGGGCTGCTTGCTCGCGTCGCTCCGCAGGCCTTCGAAGGGGATAGCGAGGGATTATTGGCATTATAATTTTTTTTTCCTGAAAAATCCCACCAATTCTTCAATTTGTCTGCAAAGGAAATGTAGGTGTTCAGATGTTGGTTGTTGCTGTTGGCCGACTGCTCGGCCAGCCCCAGAAGCAGTGCAAGGATGCAGTGTTTCCTGTATATATATCTATATCTATATATATCTATATATATATATATATATGCTTTTCCTCTCCCAGTCTCTCATCAGTGACAGTACGTCGCAGCTGGGACGTCGGTGTTGACTCGGAGAATCCAGAATGAAGGCCCCTTCTTAATGGTTCTCTGGCTTGAGTTGGACCAGAAACGCCAGCATCTCTTCATAGAGGTCAGGATTCCTGAAGCCAGAGTTGTTGTGAGGGTGGGGCGGGGAGGGACACAAAGGAAGGAGGAGGATAAGAAAAGTTAGTAACTTTTTGTCACCCACCTGCAAATACATGGCAAGGTCGTTTTTAGTGAGCCTTTACCGTGGGCCCTTTATTATGGCTCAGGAAGACAGAGACTTGTCTAAGGCCAGGTAGCTTGCGAGTAGCAGCTGAGAACTGAACCCACCACATCTGTCAGACTCCAAGACCCATGTACGTTTGCTTGTTTGTTTCCAGGGAAGTGGTATCTTTCCCTTTGGCCTGAAAATCTGTCCAAGTTTCCTTTAACACTGAGAGGCTAATATCACACTCGGTTCACTTTTTCCTCCTATCACCTCTCAGTTCTAAGAAATGTTTAGTCGTGATGACATGTTCTTCTTTTGATTTTTTTCTTTCTGTTCTCCTCGGGCCTGCTGTGCCCTGGGGATTAAACCCCAGAGTGCAGTGTTTAAATAAAGAAACTGGAGCCTGGGATCCCAACTCAGGTTTGACTCCAAAACGTAGTGGTTAAGGCCATGGGCTCTGCAATCCCGAATCCCAGTTCAAATCCCACTCTACAGCCCACTAGCTCTGCACAAGTTTCTTAACCTCTTTAGGCCTCAGTTGCTTCCTCTGTAAAATGGGTTCTGCCTATAACTGCCTTAGTTATAAGTAGGATTCAAAACAAGGATCAGCATAGAGTAAGTGCTAAATAAATACAGGCTGTTCTTGTTATTAGTGTTGCTGTTGTTAATGTAATCACATGCTATTCTGATCTCCTTTAGGACAAGGACTGTCTTTTACTTATTGCTGTCTTTCCAATGCCCAGCAAAATGCCCTGAACATAGCAACTACCCAAAACTATGTAACAGGTGGCATGTCATTCTTGCCCTTTTTTACTCACAGATGGTCAAGGGCTAATAAAGTCATGTAAATACGATCCTCCTCTGTTTCTTTCCCAAGATGGAAAATCTGAGGCCCAGGTTCAATGACTTAGCAAGCTGATTAGAATCCAGAGCTCCTGCTTTGGAACAGGCCAATTATTTTTTCCCCATTTACTTAGAATTTTGTAGGTAAGAAAGCTCTAGGGCGCTGGGTAAGTGCCACCCTCTTGCTGGCGGGTTTGAGAGACAGGCCCTGTGGAAGCAGGCAGGCCAGTGGGAGATCATGGAGCAGAAGCCACACATCTGGCCTGCGAGGTTGCAGAGAAAAGAGAAGACTGTGTGAGGTAAGTGTGCTTTCCATACTCACAGCAAGAACTTGAAGAACTTCCAGAAAGAGGCCGAGTAGAATGGAGCAGAGAGATGTCTCTGGAGGATTTGGGGAGAGAAGATAAAGGCCAGCAAGATGGAAACCTGGGTGGAAACAGGGCCCTGTGCACCTGGCTGGTGGTGGAGGGTTATGGTCTGACTTACTCAGGACTCTCAACCCTAAACATGGCAAAACCTCGAGGAAAAGGAAGCAGGTCCACCCTGCCACGCACCTTCTGCCTGTGAGACACCGCCCTGGTATGCTGCCCCCAAATTCACTTATGGAAGCCCTAATCCTCAAGGAGGTGGCATTTGGAGGTGGGACTGGTGGTCATAAGGGTGAAGTCCTCATGAACGAAATTGGTGCCCTTGTAAGAAGAGACGAGAGAGAGATTATCTTTGCTCTCAGCCATGCGGCCTGTTCCAAATTGGCCTGTTCCAAAGCAGGAGCTCTGGGTTCCAATCAACTTGTTAAGTCATGGAACCTGGGCCTCAGGTTTTCCATCTTGGGAAAGAAGCAGAGGAGGATCGCATTTACATGACTTTATTAGCACTTGACCATCTGTGAGTGAAAAAAGGCAAGAATGACATGCCACCTGTTACATAGTTTTGAGAAGACAGTTGTCTGAAAACCAGAAAGTGGGCTCTCACCAGGAACTGAGCTGGCCAACACGTTGGCCTTGGACTGTCCAGCTCCTATAACCGTGATAAATAAATGTGTGTCGTTTAAGCTCCCAGTCTGTGGTATTCTGTTGTAGCCGCTCGAACTAAGAGCCACAGATGTTGTTTAATTATTAGAGTGGCTCCACTTTAGAGATGAGCTCCCATTTGTAGATGAGGAAACCTTGGCCCAGGGAGTTCACCTGGGCACACTGCTGGCCAGGTGTTTCTGCGCCAAAGCCTGGCTGTGTTCCTTCTGCTCAATTCTGCTGTGTCCTGAGGGTTTTGTCTTACAGGGCCAGGCTGTATTTTAAGTTTGCTCCCCGACTAATAAAATGTAAACAGGATTCTGGCTGCATGGGATGTCTTTAGTAGTACCGGGGACGCCTAAAGTGTGCCATTTACATTTATTCTTCTTGGATTATTGCCACAGAGTCCGAATGAGCAGCATTTTGTTAGCCTACTTTGAGTTAATAGTAATAATAGTCATAATTAACTTCTATCCAGCACTTACTATGTGCCAGGCACTGTGCTAACTACTGCAGATGTCCCACCTCAGTACCCACTGACAATCCTGTCTCCCCTTTTCTTACCACTTCTGATTTACTTTTCTGGGTCTAGGGCAGGGGTCCTCAAACTACGGACCGCGGGCCACATGCAAATACAAATATTGTATTTGTTCCCGTTTTGTTTTTTTACTTCAAAATAAGATATGTACAGTGTGCATAGGAATTTGTTCATAGTTGTTGTTTTTTTAAACTATAGTCCGGCCCTCCAACCGTCTGAGGGACAGTGAACTGGCCCCCTGTTTAAAAAGTTTGAGGACCCCTGGTCTAGGGCCTTAAACCCCAAAGGACCCAGGAACCAGGCTTCTTCCCCACTGTGATTCATGATGTCTGGTGGGTGGGGGGTCAAAGCTGTGACAGGGACCAAGCCACAGGGTGGGTTCTCTGATGGAAACCACGCTCAGAGGACCTTGCCACAGTTCCCTCCTCCCTCTCACCGCTGCTGAACCTCCTGAGCCTTACCTGTGGCTTCTTGTCCCTCTCCTCCGGGGATGGGTCTGTTTCTCTGTATACGACAGCTTTGGTTACCAGCATGTCAGGATGCTGAAGTTTGGCCTCCTTGATGGCCAAAGCCAGGGCCTGGTGGGAGAGAACAGCAAAGTGAGGAACCACAGAATATCAAATACGAGAGACTATGGAGACCAACAAGCCGCCTAGTGCACAGCTTGCAGAACAGGAGGCCCAGGGAGGGGCAGTGGTCAAAGAATTAAAGGAAGAGACTAGAGTCTGAGTCTTCTGGCTCCTCCTGAATCCCATTCAATGTCCTTTCCTTGGGGGCCCCTTGTCTAGATAGGATGGGCAGAAAGTGTACATCTTCTTAGCCCACAAGGGCAACCATCCATGAGTAACCCAATATGGCAGGGATCGGGGACTGGGCAGTGCCACTGGGAGTAGCGTTCCTCATTCCCATACCTGGTCTTGATCAACATCTTCGTCCCCAGTAATAATGATTCGCTTCTCGATCCTCGTCTCAGAAAACCCTCCTTTCACAGTCTGCAGGGGGAGAAGGAGGCAAGGTCAGCCTTGGGTCCTGCTGGACCAGCAGCTGTGACAGGAGACCTGTCCAAAGTATCCCTCAAGGGCATGGCTGGAACCAGCAGTCACCTCTCCTGGCTCCCTCAGATTTTTCCTCTTCTGGTTGTGGGACTTCAGATTGCAGATCTAGCCTGGTGGCCACCACCCCCAAGCACCACACTGTCCCCTCTAGGTCTCCCAAGCCCAGATAAAATGCTCTCCCTGACCCTGGTTGGCAATCCTTCCACTTTCCTGCCTCAGTACTCCCTGAACACCAGATTCATCTCTCTCATGGTTCTGGGCCTCTGCCCTTTGCCGACCTTTTGTGCAGGACCTGGCCTTGCTCACCAGGCTGGAACTCTTGGGGACAGGAGTGTCTTTTGTTCATCTCTGTATCCCCTCCTCCCCACCCCTCTGTTCAGCCTGACCAGGACAGGTGCTAAATGCAAGTTTGTTGAATGAACACATGAATGAAATGTGAATGGTGACAAGGTTCTACCTTAAATGACTTCAAACCACAGTACAAGAGAAATTTCGTTGACACTACTGGTAACCACCACTGTTTTCTGAAGGGGCAAGTTTGGGCGTAAGTTTAGAAGTAGAATTGCTTGGCATATTCAAGGAGGGTGGTGGCTGAGAGAAGTTCTGGCTGGAGTCAGAAGTGGACAGAAAGAAGCGGGGGAGGGGAGGGGACTCCCAGTTGGCAGGGCTAGGAGGGACTTTGGGAAAAAGAGTTTTCCGAGCTGTATTCGGTGGGGTGTGTGATAAAAAACTTTCCCATAAAGCTTTCAGTGAAATCAATATTGCTTACTAACGCTTTTGGTGAGAGTGGGTGCTTTATGGGGACTGTGCAGAGGTGCTAAGTCCTACAGAGGAGGAGGCGGGGCTGGGGCAGTGTATAAAGGGCCAGAGCCACCTATCAGACTTCTTCAGATAGCTCAGCAGAACCTGCAACTCAACCTGGCTCCCTGGCATCTCTCCTTCAGGCCTCCATCCCTGGCCTGGGACCCCTCCTGCTTCCTTCTGGCTGCTCAGTCATGAACATGCCAGCCAGCCTTCAGCCCTGTGTCTTCATTGGCTGAGTCACGGCTGACGCATCAGGAATGCCTCCCTTCTTGGCCATTCCTCTTCCTTCTCCCACTCTGACTCCCACCCTGGTCCAGGCCCTCCATCCCTAGTCTCTCCATCACTCACTCCCTTCTTTCTCCCATCACCCTGCACATCCTGGTGGATCTAATCTCCTCTCCTTAAACCCCTTCTCACTGGCTCACTCCCAGTTAAGAAACATTGATGGTTTTCCAATAGCTCTCAGACCAGGGCCCTCCATCGCCACACTTGTCCTGGAATTTGTGTTATTTGTCTCTATTCTGCTTCCCCTGGCCCCAGTCCAACCCAATTTCCCACAGTTATGCTGCTTCTTGCTACCAGAGAACACTACTCCTGTTTCCCACAACATGCATTGCTTACAGCCCCTCCACTAGCCCCTCAGAGTAAAATCTGCTCAGCGAACAAATAAACAAATGCCGTTTCTGCTCCCGTCTTCTGCACTGTGTAGTACGCCTGCCGCTGTCCTCTCCTCCCCTCACAAGTCCTCCCTGGATTTCCAAGACCCTGCGCAAACCCCACTTTCCCCAGAAGATCCTTCTCACTCTTTGAGCCTTCCTCATATCACCCCTCTAAATCCCTCCGGCACTTAAGGTCTATAAGATGCAAATGCTATGGTCCACAGTGACTTCCAAGGAGATGGTCTCGTCCCCCAAGCCTGACTGTCAATGTTGAAGAGCAGGTCCATGCCCAGGACAGACCGTAACACAGACCAAGCGCACAGCACTCCTGAAACTGGGAATGCCACGGGTCTTCTCTGTCCACGTGACAATGGCAATGACCTTCCCAAGCCCCACAGCCAGGCTGGGCCCTGTGGCACCTGCTGCTACTCACTTTAGTAACATGGGTGGTGGTGGAGGTGGAGAGGGTTTCCGCGGTGGCGCCGTAGGTGCTGGTGAGGACATCTTTCCCGATGATCTGTGGAATATAACCACCCCCCACCCGGGATCAGGTGAGGATGCTGGCCGCTGCAGGGTGGAAGCGGGGTGGGTAAACCAAGGGACAAGTTGGGGAGGGGTCCCATGAAGGTGGGCTGGGAAGCCAAGATGCTACGAACCACTGAATCTAAGAATTCAGGAATACTGGACTTTTCAGAGTGCTGGACCCACAAAATTCTCAAAGCCTGGAATCTAAGATTCCTAGAACCTGAGATTCCTAAGGCCCAGAATTCCAACAAGACCCTAGAATTTAAGAAATCCTGGCATCTTAGAAGAATGACCAGAGGGATCCAAGGTGGAAACAGAGCCCCCTCTCAATCCCCCACCCTTCCAGAGCCAGGAGCATGTTCTCTCGTGGGCTAGATGATGCGAATGACAGATCTGGAGAATACAGGAGTTGCAGGAGACCTCACAGGGACAGACACGGCTCACAGGGCAGCCACCGACAGAGCCAGGTCCAGAAGTCAAGCCTCTGGACTCCTAACCCATTGCTCCTCCTGGTCAGTAAGGAGAGCAGATGCAGAAGAGCTACCACATCACAGGCACCACCAAAGGGAGGCGCCACTTCACCCCCACATTGCCAATGCCCTGCTTGGGGTGGGGGGAGGAACGGAGGGCAATGGACGAGACTCTGGTGGGCACCAGGGAACCTGTGGGCATCTGAAAATGATATCGTTTCCTGGTGCTGCATTCGAAAGGGAAGCCTTCTGGGCTCCACGCTGCACTTGCTGCAGGCCACCTGCGGACCCGGGTCCACATACTCAGCGTGGAGTCCCCTAGCCTGAGCTGGCCTCGCCCACTTACCGGAGAAAGAGAACGGATTTCCGTGGCCACCGTCTGTGGGCCTGGGATCATGGCAGCTGCCCCCTTCCCGGACTTGAGACTGTTCTCCTGGGGAAACAATAGTGCTCAGATGGCCAGGTCTCAGGTGGGTGGCCCCCAGGATGGCCAGGGCGCGTGGCCATGTAGCTCTCATGGCCACAGGGTTGACATTAGAGGCAGAGAGCTGAAGGCATCATTTGGCTCAATCTCCTCTCACTCGTCACCCACTCACTCACTCATGCACACACTTACACGCTCACTCAACTCATTCATTCAGCAAATATTTGCGGAGTGCCTGGCATGAGGGACACTGTGGTGAACAAGACATGGCTTTGCTCTCGGGAAGCACTAACAAAAGGGCTGAGACATGCAGGTTCTCGTCCTGGTCCTGCCATGTTCTAGCCATGTGACCTGGGGCAGAGCCACTTCCCCTCTGTGGGCCTCATGAATGCACCTAGAAAAGGGCAGCCCTGCCATGTAGGGTCATCAGTAGCAACAAATGTCCCGCTCTAGTCTACCCCACTCTGCTGATGACGGGGGAGAGTCTGTGTGAGCGGGGCAGTGGGCATTCTGAAAATCTCTTTACCTTCTGCTCAATTTTGTTGTGAATCTGCTAAAACTGCTCTAAAAGTAAAGTCTTAAAAATATGTTTTTAAAATGGGACCCCTGCCCTACTCCCTCAGAGACATTATGAGGCTAACAGAGGAGAAAGAGCTTTGCAAATGGAAATCTACAGTATGAATACAGTATAGGCTGGCTACTAATAACATCATAATAACTACTGTGTTCTGAGTCCTTGATATGTACTAGGTATTATCCTAAGGATGCACTGTCTCATTTAGTCATCAGAACAAATCATTTTAATATTCCTGTTTTACAGCTGGAAACTGGAGGGCCAGAGAATGTTAAGTGGCTTGTTCAAGTTCCCCAGCAAGTTAATGACAGAGCCCGGATTTAGACCCATGTTCATCAGACTCCAGTCCAACACGCTCCTTCCACACACCCCTGCCCTCCGAGTTCCCACCCGTGAGCCGGCTCTCCTGGTCCTACACTGGATTCTGACGGGCAGATATTCCTGGAACTGACTCCAGATTTACTGGCCCACATCTGGCAAGAGGCCTGGCTGCCTGCCTCTCCCTCGCACTTTCTGCACCATCTCAGGGCTCAGCCTTGTCTGTCCAGGTGCCCGGAGATGTGTCCCTTCTGCAGCTGCCCAGGGGCTGAACCTGGTCCTGGTCTGCGCCTGGTACACACCCGGGCCTCTGCCTGCCGGGGGGCGCGTGAGGAAGGAGCCCTCTGTCTGCCTTTGCCCTGACTGCTCACCATGCCTGCCTCCAGGTGAGGCTGTCAGTGACCTGGTCACCTGGCACTCCATCCACCTTTGTCGGATAGAGTCCCCAGAGGTGGCATTCGAAGCAGGCCTTAGAAGGACAGCCTTCCAGGTTCAAGGCTTCCTTTCCTCCAGCTTAGCAAACAGCCAGTAGCCACTCTGAGCCCCTTCGGGCCATTCTCCCCAAGCTGCTTCCTGTGCCACTGCTTCCTCTTTTCCAGGCAAAGCCTCGCTTCCACCTTTACCCTGAAAACAGAGGCCACTAATAGGGACACAGGTCATTGAAAACCACCCGCTCCACCTGCCTTTCCTAGTTCTCGGACTGTCTTCTCTCTCACCATCTCTACTCTGGACCCTTCCTCCCAGGGACTCAGGGCTCTCCTCCTCCCATCCTCTCTCTGGACCACCTCGGCCACTCAAGGCTTCCTCATCAAGGCCACTGTCCCCCGTCCCTTTATCTGCATCCCAGATCTTTTAAAACCAACTGCGTCCTAGACGTTTTCCCTTGGAAATGCCCCACAGGTCCCGCGGACTCATCGCTGCCTCCTCTCACCCCAAAGAGCATCCCCTCCAGTGCTCTGTTTATATCTGCTCAGACCGGAGGGGCGTCACCTGGAGGACTTGTGAAAGCACAGACGCCGGGCCTCTCCCCAGAGTTTCTGAATCAATAGGTCTGGGTGGGGCCCGAGAAGTTGCCTTTCTAATGGGTTCCCAGAACCAAGCTTTCAGAACAGCTGGGCTAGTGAGCAGCGTCACCAGCCCATCTCTCCTCCTGTCACCAGAACATTCTACCAATGACCAAATCCTATACTTCCCTCCTCCACGTATCTCGTAACCCTATCCCTCTCCTTGCCATCCACCTCCTCATGCTCTGGCCCTGCACCAGCCCCTGAACTAGTTCCCTGCCTTCTCTTTTGGTCTCTTAATGGCACATAGACTCAGGGACACTGTCTCCTTCAGGGCTGGATTCTCAGCGCCTGGCGCAGTACTTCACACGGCGTGGGTGTTCAGTAAATATTTGCTGAGGACAGGAAAGAAGTGGGAGGAAGGAGGAAGGAGGAAGGGGGGAGGGGGAGAAAGAGGGAAGGAAGAAAAATAAAAAGGACCCATGCCCCAAGGGAAGGAAGTTTGCTCCAGTCATGTTGCACACAGGTTGTTAGAGTGGTCATTCTAGGACGCAAACACTTATTTTGATGGCATCATGTCCCCACTTAAAAAATTCAAGTAATTCTCCATCGTGTCCAGGGTGAAGTTTGAACTTCATCTATGATGTCTGAGGCCCT